TTCAGATGACTACCTTATTTTCTTTACCAAAGATGGAAAGTTTCTCACCTTAGGTATTCTTTAGCAATTATGTCCACCTCACATTGCTCATTCTAAAATCTTAGCTCAAATAGTAGATTGTACTTTCTTTTAGGTTTAACTAGGTAGTTGTGAAACTGCTGTTCCCAAATATGCTTGTGGCTCAGAGAATTAAGATTTTCTTTCATAAAATTGAAATCTGCCCAGCTGACACGGCTCAGTGGTTGAGCATCGACCCATAAACCAGGAGGTCTGGGTTTGATTCCCTTTCAGGGCACTTGCCCAGGGTTGCGGACTCAACCTGCAGTATGGGACATGCAGGAGGCAGCAGGTCAATGATTCTCACTCATCATTGATGTTTTTATCTCTCTCTCCCTCTCCCTTCCTCTCTGAAATCCATAAAAATATATTTACTTAAAAATATAAAATAAAATTGAAATCTAAAGAAGGGAGATTAATAATGTAAAATGGCCTGATTTTTCAAGGGGAGTATAAAAAGTATCTCTCACTAAGGAATAAAAGTATTTTGTCTTGCCCTATTCTTTCTGCATTTAACTTTTAAAATTTATTTTTGTCAAGTAGTGTATTTTTATTTTCTCAAATTCAAATGGATTAAATGTTAAACTAACAAATATTTGCTTTTAAAAGTTGATAAATATAGGAAGAAGGTGCATCCACTAAGAGTTTTGAGAAAATGGGACAGCGTTTTTCCTCAACTATATTTAAGATTTTATTAGAATGGTATCTTAACCTTAGTCCTTCATTTTGATTTCTAATTCATTAAAATTGCCCTCTTCTTAAATGGAATGTTACATATTGAAGGAGACTGTCACAGAAAGTTTTAATTTATATTTTATTTTCAGATGTAAAATATTTAAAAGAAGAGGATGCAAATCGCAAGACTTTCACTGTCAGCAGCACACTGGATTTCCGAGTGGACAGGAGCGACGACGGTGTGGCGGTTATCTGCAGAGTCGACCATGAATCCCTCAATGCCACTCCTCAGGTAGCGATGCAGGTGCTAGAAATACACTGTAAGTAAAAGCTCTTTCCTCCCCATTTATATCGGCAGCAAATCTGCTCATCTGCATTTAAAATCATTTCGAAATTAGGTAAAGTTACAGGATATGTACAGCAAAATGCAGTAAAAGTACCCTCAATAGCATTAATCATGTTCAAAGGAAAGAAGTTCTTAGCTGAGTATCATTACAGTCAAGGAAGAAAAATAAAGGTGGCATCAAAAGGTTAAAACTCCTCATTACCTTCCAAATAGTGAGTGGCTTGATGTCTGTGTGTACATCTGAGTAGGGGAGGAGGAGTGGTAATTTTGGCAGAATCAGAGAGTTGGGAATCTGAAAAGGGCATTGATGAGCTTTATTGTATGTATGTAACTGTTGCATGCAAATGTGGCTTTCTCTCTGTGATTTTAAAATTAGACTCGTTTCTTTTACTTTCTCTATGAAATATACTGTATATATGACTGCAAGAATATATCTACCATGTTTACTTTATAAATAGCATTATTATTTACAAGAGATAAGAACAAAATTAATTTGATGACACCAATAGTTCAGAGGAGGTGCTAAATGTTTTGCTGGCATCATCTCATCTCATTTATCTGTAAGGGCATCAGTTACGCTAACTTTAGTCACAATTGACAGATGAAGACACCAAAGATTATACAGGTTGAGTCACTTGGCCAAGTTCACACAACTAACAAATAGTGAACTTGTAATCATAACATTTTAGTTGTTGGCAAGGTCCTTGGGAGAGGTGATCTATAAATATGAAATTAAATGAATTGAAATAAGTAAGATAATGTGGGAAAGAAAAAGAGGAGAACACAGAATGTATTTCTGAATTGGATTACTTGATTTTTAAATATTAGAGATTTTTGTTTGCTTTTATCTATTAAAGTTATAGATTGAATGTAGAAGTGAGATGTAAAATTACATTAAATACTAACATTTTAAATATAAGTACTGGTCTTGTAATATGTCTCAAATTTTGTTTTCATTTACTTATTTATTCAACAAGAAGTTTTTGAGTGCCTACTGTGTAACAGGTATTGTTTGGACACTGGGGTTGCATTAGTGGTCAAAAAGAACAACAAAACAAATCAAGATTGTCCCCAAGCGTCAAAATCACCATCACCACGAACAGCAACAAACTTTTACAGCATCTGTTCCAGGGAGGAATGACAGAAAAGCAAAATAAATGACTACAACATATATTATGTTATGTATATGGGAAAATATAAATCAGGGGTGGTGATAAGGAGTTCAATTGGAGAGGTGGGAATGGGAGTCAAGGAAAGTGTGTGTGTGTGTGTGTGTGTGTGTGTGTGTGTGTGCTGTATATATACATATGTGTAATATTGTATATACACATACACACAGAGAGAGGGGAAAGCAAGTATAAAGACCATGAGATAGGAGCATCCCTTTATTTTTTATGTTTCTGTAAACAGCAAAAATATCTGTGAAACTGGGGTAGAGTGAACTATGGGAAAAAAGAGAGAATATTATGAGAAAATTTCGAAAGTACCAGGGAACCAGACATTTAAAAATTATTCTTGATAGAAAAAATGTTAATCTGATTAAGATTTTTAATTATTGCCCATCATGGTTTAAGTATTCTTATTTTACTTGCTGTTGAAATTATTATAATTTTAAATACTTTTATTATATTACATTAGTTTTAATTTTCTTCCTGTTCTCATTGAAACATGTTCAGAAGCAAGCATATTTCATAGCTCAACCTGTGGTTATCTCCAAATTTCAAAATTTATTTGCAGTGAGACCTTGGGACAATTATTGAAAATGCTTAAGGTTTGAATATAAGCTAGAGAATTAATTTCCATGAGGAGCAAGCTAGACAAATTAAGTCAAGTTTATGACATTAAATAAAAATTCAACATATGTAAATTTAAGCCCCTTTAGCAAAATACCACAGACTGGGTGGGTTCTAAACAACAGAAATCTATTTCTTTCTTTTTTTAAAATATATTTTTATTGATTTCAGAGAGGAGGGGAGAGGGAGAGAGAGATAGAACCATCAATGACGAGAGAGAATTATTGGTTTGCGGCCTCCTGCATGCCCTCTACTGAGGATCGAACCCACAACCCGGGCATATGCCCTTGACCAGAATCAAATCCTGACCCTTCAGTCCACAGGTCGAGGCTCTATCCATTGAGCCAAACCAGCTAGGGTCAGAAATGTATTTCTTACTGTTCTACGTGCTGGAAATCCAAGATCAAGGTTCAGGCACATTCGGTACCTGGTGAGGGCCTGCTTCCTGGTACCTAGAGGGCTATCTTCTCTCTCTGTCCACACTTGGCAGAAGGGGCTAAAGGAGCCCTCTGGGCTCTTTTTTATAAGGGCACTAATCTCAGGCATGACCTTCAAAAGGCCCCACTCCCTAATATCACATTGGGAATTAATTTTTAATATGTGAATTGCGGGGGTAGAAGGGGGCACACAAAAATGTTTAGTTCATAGGCTCTTTCCTTTTCTCTTTTTCTTATTTCATCAACATGTCTTTTAAAAGATAAAAAGTTATATACTAGGTGTACTGGTTAATAATGCAGATTTTGTAATCAAAGAAAACATGATTTCAAGAGAAACATCAAATGTGCTTTATTCCATGTAATGTCCATCGCTAGCTACACATTTCCCCATCTTTCAGGTAATTTGTGGATACTGTTTTAATAGAACTTTTCTTGTTTTGAGGCAAACCATTCAGAGTCCAATTTTTCACTGCTTTGTATGTTTTGAAGTGCTGCTCAGAAAGTGTGTGTGCCATTGATCAGAACAAGTGGTAATCTGAAGGAGCAAGGTCTGGTGAATACAGCAGGTGGGTTAATACTTGCCAGGCAAGATCTTTTAATGTGTCTTTAACTGGTTTTGAAGTGTGTGATGGTGTGTCATCATGAAGCAAAATTACTTTTCTGTGTCTTCTGGCACATTCTGGTCATTTCACTATCAAAGCGTGATTCAAATTGATTATTTGTTGTCGGTAGCAATCAGTATTAATGATTTCAGCTGGTTTTAGAAGCTCATAATGCACCACACCTTCCTGATCCCACCAAACGCAGAGCATTGTCTTCTTTCTGAAGCAATTTGGCCTTGCAGTCAATGTTGATGGTTGACCTGGATCAACCCATGATTTTGTGCATTTGGGATTCTCAAAAGAAATCCACTTTTCATCGCCAGTCACAATTCGATGCAAAAAAGACTTTCCTTTGTGCCGTTGAAGCAACATTTTACTAATGACTTTTTGGTTTTCCATTTGTCTTTTGTTCAGTTGACATGGCACCCATTTTCCTTTCTTAAAAATCTTTCCCATTGCTTGCAAATGATTAGAAATTGTTTGCTGAGCAACGTTTAATCTTTCTGCAAGTTGTTTTTGAGTTTGACAGGCATCTTCATCCAATAATGGTTGCAATTGTTGCTCTTCAAACTTTTTTGGTTGACCTGGATGTTCTTTGTCTTTCACATCGAAATCATCACTTTTAAAACATTTAAACCAGTGTTCACAAGTATCTTGAGATGGAGCATGTTCACCATAAGCTTCCCAAAGTATTCAGCAGCACTTTTCTTCAAAATAAAGTAATGAATTATAACTTCCTGCAAATGCTCTTTTTTTGGCACAAAATTCGACATTTTTAAGTGTAAAAATATCTATGATGTTAACATCTTCAGTAAATTTGACATATGAAGTTTTGAAGCTTGTTGTCAATACAACAAAATAGCATACATATCAAATTGCATATATATCAACATATATCAACTCCATCTATTGAAAAAAATCCGCATTATTAACTGGTACACCTAGTAATTTGATATACTGAGAGGATACAGATCATCAGCATCTTAAATATTTTTTCACTTACACATCAAGCCATATAAGACTGTTTAGAATAATATTTACTCATTTAGCTGTAATTTTCAACATATAAAATAAAATTATAAAAATTGGGTCATAAGGCATGTTGGAAACTGCCAGCCAAACATCATTGGACATCTACCAAATCAGGCTTATTTAGTGGCTATGGAAAAGAAGAAGGCTTACCAGACATCTCTGAGTGCATGGTAAGAGCTAGGAGAGGCTTTATTTTTTTTTATTTTTCGCTAAAAGTATTACAAAGGGTATTACATAAGTGTCCTTTTTTCCCCCCCGCCCTTGACAGGCCCCTGCCCTCCCTTACCCCCCAGTGTCTTATGTCCATTAGTTATGGTTATATGGATGCATACAAGTCCTTCGGTGGATCTCTTACTCCCCTCCCTCCTGTCCCCCAACCCTCCCTGGCCTTCCCACTGCAGTCCGTCAAACAGTTTGAGGCAGCTCTGCCACTGTATTTATTATTGTTCAAAAGTTTGTAATGGTCTTAATTATCCAATTTTCCCAACACCATTTATTGAAGAGACTATCTTGGCTCCATTGTATGTTCATGCCTCCTTTGTCAAAAATTAATTGAGCATATTGGTTCGGGCTAATTTCTGGACTCTCTATTCTATTCCACTGATCTATATGTCTGTTCTTGTGCCAGTACCAGGCAGTTTTGAGAACAGTGGCTTTGTAATACAGCTTGATATCTGGCATTGAGATCCCACCTACTTTGTTCTTTCTCAGGATCGTTGCAGCTATTCAGGGTCTTTTTTTATTCCAGATGAATTTTTGGAGAGTTCGTTCTAGATCTTTGAAGAAGGCCATTGGTATTTTAATGGGAAGTGTGTTGAATGTATAGATTGCTTTGGGTAGTATGGACATTTTAATGATGTTGATTCTACCAATCCAAGAACATGGTATGTTCTTCCATCTGTTTATGTCTTCCTCTATCTCTTTTTTCAACGTCCTGTAGTTTTCTGAGTAGAGGTCTTTAACCTCTTTAGTTAAGTTTATTCCTAGGTATCTTAATTTTTTTGGTGCGATGGTAAATGGGATTGTTTTTCTAATCTCTCTTTCTGAAAGTTCACTATTGGTATATAGAAATGCCTCAGATTTCTTGGGGTTAATTTTGTATCCTGCTAC